ACTGTGAGTCAATACATCTCTGTTCACTATAAATTACCCAATCTATAGCACCCTGCTATAGCAGCACCAAACAAATATATTAATATATAACTTATTTATATATTTATCATAGATTTTATAATTACATAGTATATATTTATATAATATTTTATTATATTAATAATATGTTAATATATAATGTATATAATGAGAAACATATTTGGTCTTTGTCCTAGGTTCCAGGCACAGAGATCCTAAAACCCTGGAAATTTCCTGACAGGTGAGTCTTTTGTTATTCACTATTGCCCCTATCCACCAACCTGAGTTTATGCTAACAAAGTGATTTAGGATGGGGCCCTAAATAGCTTCAGGTTAAAGCTGGCTACTAGAAAGACCAAGTAATTAGAGGGTTGTAACTTTAAGTCCCACCCACTGACCTCCAGGAAAACTGAGCTCTACAAAAACTCTGTTACAAGATTCAGGATTCTAAGAGCTTCCAGGCTGGTGAGCGTATCAAGGTGCAGGGAGGGTGGAATGAAGACATGGAAGCTCTGAGTGCACAGCCCCCATACCCTGTCCTATGCATTTCTTCTATTCGGATGTTCCTGAGTTGTATTCTGTGAGCCATTTTAGCAAGTCATTGAAACTGAAGAGGCTCAGTTTTTGGGTTAAAATCTAAAACTTCATAGAGTATTCATTTACTTAACACTGTATACGCTCAGAGTTGGCATGGAATTTGTTTGACAAAGCTAATCCTGTCATATTGCAAATGTCTAAGAAATGAAAAAACTGCTTTAAAGTTCATATGGAACCAAAAAAGAGCCTGCATCTCCAAGACAATCCTAAATCAAAAGAACAAAGCTGGAGGCATCACGCTACCTGACTTCAAACTATACTACAAGGCTACAGTAACCAAAACAGCATGGTACTGGTACCAAAACAGAGATATAGACCAATGGAACAGAACAGAGTCCTCAGAAATAATACCACACATCTACAGCCATCTGATCTTTGATAAACCTGAGAAAAACAAGAAATGGGGAAAGGATTCCCTATTTAATAAATGGTGCTGGGAAAATTGGCTAGCCAGAAGTAGAAAGCTGAAACTGGATCCTTTCCTTACTCCTTATACAAAAATTAATTCAAGATGGATTAGAGACTTAAATGTTAGACCTAATACCATAAAAACCCTAGAAGAAAACCTAGGTAATACCATTCAGGACATAGGCATGGGCAAAGACTTCATGTCTAAAACACCAAAAGCAACAGCAACAAAAGCCAAAATTGACAAATGGGATCCAATTAAACTAAAGAGCTTCTGCACAGCAAAAGAAACTACCATCAGAGTGAACAGGCAACCTACAGAATGGGAGAAAATTTTTGCAATCTACTCATCAGACAAAGGGCTAATATCCAGAACCTACAAAGAACTCAAACAAATTTACAAGAAAAAAACAAACAACCCCATCAAAAAGTGGGCAAAGGATATGAATAGACATTTCTCAAAAGAAGACATGCATACAGCCAACAGACACATGAAAAAATGCTCATCATCACTGGCCATCAGAGAAATGCAAATCAAAACCACAATGAGATACCATCTCACACCAGTTAGAATGGCAATCATTAAAAAGTCAGGAAACAACAGGTGCTGGAGAGGATGTGGAGAAATAGGAACACTTTTACACTGCTGGTGGGATTGTAAACTAGTTCAACCATTATGGAAAACAGTATGGCGATTCCTCAAGGATCTAGAACTAGAAGTACCATATGACCCAGCCATCCCATTACTAGGTATATACCCAAAGGATTATAAATCATGCTGCTATAAAGACACATGCACACGTATGTTTATTGCAGCACTATTCACAATAGCAAAGACATTTGGGAATCAACCCAAATGTCCATCAGTGACAGACTGGATTAAGAAAATATGGCACATATACACCATGGAATACTATGCAGCCATAAAAAGGAAGAGTTTGTGTACTTTGTAGGGACATGGATGCAGCTGGAAACCATCATTCTCAGCAAACTATCGCAAGAACAGAAAACCAAACACCGCATGTTCTCACTCATAGGTAGGAACTGAACAATGAGATAACTTGGACTCGGGAAGGGGAACATCACACACCGGGGCCTATCACAGGGAGGGGGTGGGGGGAGGGATTGCATTGGGAGTTATACCTGATATAAATGACGAGTTGATGGGTGCTGACGAGTTGATGGGTGCAGCACACCAACATGGCACAAGTATACATATGTAACAAACCTGCACGTTATGCACATGTACCCTAGAACTTAAAGTACAATAAAAAAAAAATATATAAATAAATAAATAAATAAAATGGACAAAATAATTTGAGAAAATCTCTTTGGCTTAGAGAATAAATTACCTCTATAAATAAAGGTAATTTACCTCTATAAATTACCTCTATTTTATAAAAATATAAAGAGAGAAAAGGAGTAATGATAATGATGTTGAGAGAATGAATTATCCACTCAATATAATAAAACGGCCCACAATAAATGACAACTAGTTTACATTGTTTTCCAGTAATGGTAAAACTCTTAATAATCCATCAATTTTACCTCACTCACTCTTCCTTATGTCCACCAGAATATATACTTCAAATACTTTTTAAGTTGGAAGCTATGTAAGATAGAATTATATAGTCTGTGGTTCTAGAAATAAATAAATTGGTCTACTTTGAACCAAAAGTAATGATTTTGGTATCACTGGTACTGACTAAGCTCTAATCAGAATGATTTTAATCACAATAAATAGCAGAAATCAACTGATGCTGAGACATTAAATATAAGACTGAAGATTTAATATCTGATCTAATAAGCAATTAGAAATCACTACGTTTCTTAGCTATCATGCTCTCAAAGTGATAATCATGACAGATTAGAAAGGAAAAACTTAGAGACAGTAATCTAGACACAAGAAAATAAACAGCTAGATTAGAACAGAACAAGCAAATAACTAGAATAGATAAGAGGTAGTGGGGAAAGGAAGAAAAAGGAACATATTTCAAGAACACAAGAGCTTAATTTACAACAAGGGTTGGCAAACTACAGCATGCAGCCAAATATGGCTGCCTGTTTTTGCAAATAAAGTTTTATCGGAAAACAGCCATGCCCATTAGTTCTTGTACTGTCTATGGCTGCTTCACACTATAGTGGCAGAGCTGAATAGTTACAACAGCAACTACATGGCCCACTAAAGCTAAATAATTTGCCACCTGGCCTATATTCATTTCCATTCATTATAGGATTGCCATAATAAAGTACCATAAATTGGATGGCTTACAACAATAGAAATTTATTCTCTTACAGATCTGCAGGTTAGAAAGAAGTTCAAAATCAGAGTGTCCAGAGAATCATGCTCTCTCAAAGGCTCTAGGGGAGATGCTGTTCCATGCCTTTCTTTTAGCTTCGGTGTTGGCAGCAATCCTTAGCATTCTTTGATGTGCACTTATATAAAGCTAATCTCTGCCTCCGCTGTCACAGGGTCATTTTCTCTCCTGTTCTGTGAATCCACATGGTGTTCTCCTCTCTTAGCAGAACACCAGTCATATCAAATTAAGGGCCCACCCAACTCCGGTATGACTTTATCTTAACTATATCTGCAATGACCCTATTTCTAAAATAAGGTCACATTCTGAGGTGCTGGGGTTTAGGACTTCAACATATGTTTTTAGAGAACACATTTCAACCCATATTTTGGCCCTTTACAGAAAAACTCTGCCAACATCTACTTCAGAAGAAGAATCGAGAAATAGGTCCAGAGGTGCAACTGAACAATGAGAGATTAAAACAGCAAAACTGGGATTTTGTTTTACACATACTAAGCTTAAAGCAACAGTAAGAGCCCTCTAAAAACAGGCAGAAAGCAAAAGGTCAGGAATCTGTACTGGCTTAGAGATAGAGGAATCGGGGCAACTGAAAATGGATGGTCATTCTCAGATAAACGTTTTGTATAGCAAGCCAAGAACTGATCTTTAGAGAATGTCCCGTTAGATAACAATGTTACTAGAGACTGTCACTGTTATATCACAAGATAATAATGTAGAAAATAATGTAATTTAGTATTATATAATCTGTAAGAGAAGCAATTCAACAGTGACAAATCCAACAAAGGGACTGAAGAGACCTGAAAAACGACCAGGGCATTTGGTTAGAATGAGACAACACTCAAAGAAGACAACTTTTAGGGAGAAACTAAGGCAGAAACCAGACCAGTAGGGGAAATGGGAATGCTGAAAAACTAAAGACAGTAGGTACAGTAAATTACCACCTTGGTGGTCTCCAATGAATCACATTTCCTGGTTATCTACATCTTTGTAGAATCTTCTTTCACACAGACTCTGAGCTTAGCCAAATGACTTGTTTTGGCCAATATATTAGCAACAATTGGCAAGCAGAGGCATGATAAACACTTGCACATGGAAACTTGCCTTCTTAGAACACGCGCTGCATGCTGTAATAAAGTTTGGGCTAGGCTCCTGAATGATGAGAGGTAACATAGAAAGAGATTACGCAGAATAAGAGGCTGTCTTATATACTCCAGCCCCAACAGAGCTCCCAAGAGAATGCAACTTCCATAGTGACCTCAGCCCATATCTAACGGAACAGAAAAACTGCCCAGCTCAGCCCAGTGATCCCACAGAATCAGGAGAAATAATAAACTGTTGTCATTTTAAGCCACTACATTTGGAGTGGTTTGTAAAGCAACAATAGATAAAATACAGTCAGAATAGGATACATATTTGAGAAATACAATAACATGAGACTGAAAATTTTTATAAAACTGGGTAGACTTATATCCAAATGGGGAGAAAAACAGAAAAATCATGTAAATGTTTATAAAGGGTAAAATTAACATGTAAAAAGAAAAAGTAAAGATGCTGAAGAACACAATGAGCCACATGAGGAAAGAGAAAATTGAAGACTAGAAACAGAAATGCAGTCATTCTGTTGTAAGACAATAGCAGGGAAAACATTTTTCCACCTACTTCATCACTTTCCTCTACTTCAATTCCACCATCTTTGTCATCATCCATTTGTTTATGTATTGTTTGAAGAGCTTCCAGACTAAATCTGTCTTCTTCTGTAAAGCATGGTGGACTCAGTGACATGCAAGGATCTGAAAGAGAACAAAGGGCAATTACTAACTTGACATGCCAAAACAAAGGCTATAGTTGAGAGTATAATTTAAAAGAAAACCAACAGAACTAAACTTCAGACTAAGTTAAACTAAGAGACTTCAAAACGTCTAGCAGAATATTCTTCACATCAAAAGTATAATATATGAACACAACTGACTAAAAATAAATAATCCAATTTAATTAATATTAGGCAACTACAACCAGGAGTTATGCCAGTACTCACTTCAGGTTATCTAAAATCTCTACATCTTTAACCATTTCTTCTTATCCAACCTGAATATTTACTAATCATGATTTACTAATCATTCCCCCCACCAAAAAAACAGATGCTCTCCCTCCATTAAAAAAACAAGAAACACTAAAAATCACAGAATACAAAGTGCTATTTTTGCACAATCCAGTTTAATCAAAATGAGTCCTAGAAAATATCACCAAAAAAAAAGGAATGGAAATGTAGAATAGTCACATGACCCTTTTGTTTTCATTTTTCTATTTAAGATAATCTAAGAGTCTACCCACATAACTTTTTTCAAAATACATATGTTCCTAGGTTCAACTACGACAACAACAAACAAAAGAAAAAGACTAACCAGATATTTAAAACTCTTGTTCTTCATGTTATCTTTAATACACACTTACTGGTCAACCCTTTCCCTATGGAGTATATGTGAATCCTCACATTCGGGTTGTCAAAAATTAAGTTGGAAAGCATGAAACATTTTTCAATGGCTTAAAATCAGACTGCTGGAAATTACTTCCTGTGCACATAACTAGCAAACAACCTATACACCAAAATGAGAAAGTATTGCCAAAGCTTCACTTACACCCAACCTGGCTGACTGGTGGACTGACAAAATTCTAGGAACTTACTTCTCTTCTACTAAGTCACTACAATAATATTCCTTTAAAATGTCATCAGAACCACATACATTTCCAGAAGTAGTATGGCCTTAAAGTTGAAAGTGGTTAGCATAAGAGAGGGGTTAGCCACAGCTTAGTTATCTCATCAATAGTTAGTCTATCATCTGGCCCTACTATCAATTACCTGTCATCAGTTAATTGTGGACAAATCACTTGTCCTTGTGTCTTAGTTGCCTCGTCCCTAAAATAAAGCAAGTAGAGATGCTAACTAAGATCTATTGCAGCTACAAGGGCCTAAGAATATCTAATTCTGTGCTTAGAGAGAAAAAAGCTAGGAGAAGAGAAGCCAATATTTGAGGCCCACAGATACTTTTATTTTCTAAGAAAAAAAAATTCAAACTGACATTACCTAACATGTTCCAATTACAGCTGAAAAAAAATTTTGGTGATTTAACATTTTTAGTAGTTTTAATTCAAAATCTAATTTTAATTTCTTTAGTCTTGGAAGGGAAGTAAACAGAAGAGAAAGGAAACTATAAAAGTAGGAAACGCAAGTATAAGTTCTGTGTGATATATGAATATGTGTACATACAAATATTTAAAACGCCAGTTAAGATTTGCTAAACTCCAAGAACTCAGAAGCATAATGGTCAATTATGATCCCTAATTCACAGAACAATCAAGACCCTGATATGTCCATAAGTTTGAATTTATTTGCAATTATTTAAAAGATACAAAATAGAAGATAAGATCTCAGGTACCAAAATGACATATAGTGTAAAGATCTGTATATAATATGTAATTGCCTCCAGCAGACCTATTTTTTACACATAATTTGCAAAAAAAAAAAAAAAAAAAAAAAAAAAGTGAAGGTGTTCATTGCAACTGGTTTATAAGGAAAGGGCCAGCATCTCTTACTCTGATTAAATAAGTTACTGTTGTTAAAGTCTCTAACAGGAGTCAACAGTGAGGACTGTAAAACCATAGGAAGCTTTAAGAGAAATTAGGAGCAATATGACTTGAAAAAGTCATATGAAAATAAAATTGGTAATTATTCACTCAAATAGGCATATTTCATAAATATTAGCTAATCTACTAAAATACTCTCAAGTCTACTTGAAGATGTTAATACTTCTCCATGAAGTCTTTCATAAACACTATTTCCTAGTGATCACTTCCTTCTCTGCACTCCATTCAATCCACTCAACAACTATCTAATGAGCATCTAGCACATGTCAGGCACCAGAAATAGCACGGTGAACAAAACAGACAAAAATCTTCACAAAACGTATATTTTACTGAGGACTATGAACCTAACAAGATAAATAAGTAAAAGGTATAGGCATGTTAGTAGTGATAAACATTTCAGGAGAAAATGAAAAGCAGATATGAAATGTTAAGGGATTTGAAATTTTCCATTATATCTTCATTTTCTAATCATTCTACCTAAGTCCTCACTTAATGTTGTACTTGATTAAGCTTTAATTGCCTTATGTGTCATTTTTGTCCACACAGCTAAGATTATGAACAGGGCAGGGACCATGTTTCTCCACCTCTCATAATACCCCTTTTAGCTGAACATATTTTAAGCCTCTGATAAATTCTGTTACTTCATTTATTAACTAAATCACAAACTTCTAGGCTTCTATCCTGTGCAAGGCATTAGGAATTAGAGATAAGAGAGTATCCATACTCAAAAAAGCTCACAGTTTATTGAGAAGGAAGACATGTAGACTCCTACAATCTATTATGTTAGGTAAAAGTTTTCTACAGGTAAACTTGAATAATTTTAAATCATCTGTAGTTGATGACCTTGAGAAGGGAGAACAGCATGCCTAGAAGCAGCATCATACGTTCAGTGACATAAAAGAAAAAAAAACATAAAACATTCAGAAAAATGTAAGTGGTTTAATATGTCTGTAGTACAGAGATAACAACATACAGAAAACAGAAGATCAGGTAGAGATGCTAAAAGGCCAGATCTCCAAAAGCTCTGTTTTTCATACTAGAATATTTGGATTTTTATCCTAAAAACACTGAGAAGCTACTAATGGATTTCAAGAAGGGGAATAACACAATGAGATTCATTTAAAATCTGATAACTCTGGTGACAATGGAATGGGATGATGGCAATTCACCAGATCCCTCTGGTGACAGTGGAATAGGATGGTGGCAAGACTGAGAGACACAGCTGATACTCAGCCTGGCAGCACTCAACAGACCATGCCTCTAAGGAACAGAAACGGTAGATGATGAGACCACTCTAGGGTTTGGTGTTTTGCCAAGTTGGAGCAGCAGAGGAAAGACAGGAGTTGAAGTTATGGCAACAGTGATCCATTTCTTCACATGAAATTTTATTTCCTTTAAAGTATGACTCAAGGCTATTACAAATCTAATTTAGAATAACTGTGAATTCTGAACTCTATTACCTGTTCTAATGTCTCTTTTCATTTTTAGTTGTTTACCTTCTAGGTTAATTCAGCACATGTGATCATTTTAACTCAAATTAGCTGGCCTATATTTATTTTAAAATATTCAACTTGCTAAAAAAGGTTTGTGCCTAAAATTATAATGGTTTCAAAGGCAACTGCTACTAATATTGTTCTCCTTTGCTTATATTTTAGATACTTTCTTTAGCTACCCCAAATGCCCTAGTGCACATCAGGTACTCCATACTAGTACATCTTCCTCATCTAAAGAGAATTCACTCACTAATTTAAACATGATATGGAGTGCCTATAATATGTCAGGCTCTGTGGTTGGTGCTGGGCACACAAGGCAACAACTAAGACAAATGTTCTCCCCTCAGTGCCCTCACCTTGTGTTAAATGCAACATGGTGTGATATAGCTTTTGAGTATTATATGCTAATATATTATATTGTTAACAGCAGCACTTTGCACTGAGGGAAAAGGAACCAGTTGCAACAGAATGAGACCTAACCCAAGTCAGTTATCAACACCATTATTAAATTCCACCTTGTTTTCCTATAACTAGAGCCAAATGCTCAGTATGGTTCTACAGAAATAAAGTAAAATGAATTAAAGTTATTTCACCCATTAAGAAATATCTACTACAGGCTGGGCACAGTGGCTCACGCCTGTAATCCCAGCACTTTAGGAAGCTGAGGCAGGCGGATCACCTCAGATCAGGAGTTCGTGACCAGCCTAGACAACATGGCGAAACTCCGTCTCTATGAAAAATACAAAAATTAGCCGCGCATAGTGGCACGCTCCTGTAGCCCCAGCTACTTGGGAGGCTGAGGCAGGAGAATTGCTTGAACTTGGGAGGCAGAGTTTGCAGTCAGCCAAGATCATGCCACTGCACTCCACCCTTGGTAACAGAGTGAGACTTCGTCTCAAAAAATATATATAAATAAAAAAGGAAGAAAATTATCTACTACATTCTAGAAACCAATACTATTTTATCTTCATAATTTATTCCCTGCAACCCTGTATGGGGCAGATAATATCTCTATTTTCCAGATGAGGAAATAAGACTCATGCGTAACTTGCTTAAGATCACACTACTAGAAATAACAACTGAGATTCTAAGTATTCACAACTCCAAATCCATGTCCAAGTGTCCGTATAACGAACATAAATGGGTCAGTGTCACCAGCATCAGAGAATTAAGTATCGCTATCATAGATATTGCCAGGACCTGGCTGAGAAGCTGACTGCACCAAGAAGCATAAATGTGCCCCGTGGAAGGAGATCATCAGACACTTGTGGAATACTACTCACAATCTAGAATACATATCTATAAGTCCTGCCTTACTTTTCCTTTAGATAATCTATCTCCAATTCACACTCCCCTTGAACAAACCATTATATTAAGTATACTATATTGTATCATAACTTTTGTATCATAACATAAACTTAACTATTGTATCATAACATAAACTTGATTGAGAACATGCACTGTATTAATTTTTTATTCTCAGTATCTACCACAGTGACATATTTGTCAAATGGTTAAGTATATGTAAATATTAGAAGCCAAATGAATTAGCTTCTAAATACAATTCATTTATGTAGCAAACATCTAAATGGCAGAGTCTAGAGTACCTTTTGTGTACCCAGGTAAAAATAAATGAAATTAAAGATGGCAGATGC